TGAGGTCTCTTTCCCTCCTTACAGCCCTCTCCTTCTCTTTCCTGTGTTAAAAAACACAGGAACAAAAAGCAAACAAGAAAAGTTCAAGGCCTGCTCTTGGGCTGAGTATCTGTCAGCCGCTTAGTTTTAAGTGGGTACTGTCTCTTTAAATTTCGAAGAGATCTATGCACATGCATCGTAGAACTCTCTGAGGGTGGGGCTGGAGTATCCAACAGCTCAGGCACCCCTATAGTCACCAGAATGGAGGTACGCACACAGCAAGGGACCAACGAAAAGATACCGAAAAAAAAAAGAATGTCCACACCTGTATCTCTGCGGCTCTGTCAGACATCCGTGGCTGCTCTGTTCCTTTCCCCACTTGGCCCCACACAAAATGGCGGCTCCTGGAGCAACTGAGCGTCCCAAACCAGGAAGCAATTGATTTCTTGCTTCTGCCACAAACTCCCCAGCTGTAAGTCTTTCAATCTTCTAGATATTCCTTTATTTGTGGTTCCGAGTACTGGGACCATTTCCTGAGCCTTCTTGGTCCTGTATTCTGTGTTGTTCTCGGTAGAGCTCGTCACTACACTTCCACCCGATCTGCCATCTTTTTCCGGAAGTCTATAATGCCTACTTTTAAGGAAGGTTGTTGTTATTGTTAATTGCCGTCGTGTTAATTCCAACCCATAACGACCCTGAACAGGGCTTCCAAGGCTGAAAATCTTTACGGAAGCAGAAAGCCTCATCTTTCTCCCGCAGAGCAGCTGGTAGTTTTGAACTGATAACCTTGCAGTTAGGTGGAAATAAAAAAGTAACTGTATAAATAAGAGATACTAGGCTCATTGGATGTTTATAGAGAGCTTTATGTAGTTTAAAAAATAGTAGTGTTGGTTAGACATTAATCATTTTCATTGTGGTTTTTAAATTTTTGATACCAGAAATTGCTCTAAAAATGTCAATCGATGAGCTTCCCTTTGGATAATCTTGCATCTCAGATTTGACTGAATTACTGTTGTATCTATGTAACCTGGGCTTGGATGACTTCCAGTCCAGGTAATTTAAATAGAATTGTAACTCATGAAATTGAATTGAATTTATCATATACCTCATTCTCTGAATACTCATTCAGTTTTGTTTGTTTTTTTTTTTTTTTATTGTGAACTGAGTGGAGGCTTACAGAACAGATCATCAGTTTTACTTTCAACAAATCATATGCTTTTCTTCATTACAGTGATTGCAGTCCCCTCCGTGTACCATCTGTTAACAATATTTACCTCTGTTCACTTTGTTGCATTCCTCCCTGTGTCTTCCATTACCTTCATCTTTCCTCTGCCAGCCTCCCTCTTGTTATTTATTGCCTGCCTCATCACCCATGTTAACACGTGTCTACCCACTAGCAACTGAAATATCACCAGCACCAGCACCAAAACTCAACCATTGTTAGCATTTCTATGTATTTCTTTATCTTCTCAATTTGTTACAAAAATTGATTTTTATCTCCTGCTTTTAGGACTGCCTTAAGGAAGTACTGGAGATTGTGGAACTGGGTATCTCAGGAAGTAAGTCCAAAAATAGTGAGCAAGAGGTCAAGTACAAAGGAGATAAGGAGCCAAACCCTGCATCGATGAGGGTAAAAGATGCTGCTGAAGCCACCCTAACATGGTATGAAAATGACCACAGGAATTATGTAGGATTAGCTATGATACATGAGCATCTCCTTTCTGACTTTTCAGTATTTTGTAGCTCAACCCTTTGTTGTTGTTTTTAAGTGCTGTCAAGTTGGTTCCAACTCATGGGGACCCTGTATGAGGAGCAGCCGGTGGGTTTGAACTGCCAACCTTGTATTTAGCAGTCAATACCACATCAGGACTCCTCAACTCCTTTAGAATACTATTTTCCCAGGTGTAAAATGCAAAGGAGATGCTCCTACCTGGTTTTTTGTTTTGTTTTGTTTTGGAGGGGTAGGTCACGGGGGAGAAGGGCAGGGGATATAGTGGTGGACCAGTAAGAAAACAGTGGCTGGGAACTGAGAGTTTGGATCTTTCTTTACTATTCTAGTTGACATGAGCTCAAGTCATACTGTGTTAAAGCTAGAAAGAATTTTGGTGAGCCTTACTCGATTCCCTTCATTTTGATGGCTGAGTGCATCTGTCTCTGCTAGTTCTCCTGCTTCCCAATTCAGTGAACTGTATTCTCTGTCACACCATTTACATTGCACATCAGAGTTTTTTTCAGCCACCTTCTTGTGGTGTTTTCTGTTACAGCAACACTGGGTAACACATTTGCCATGTTTATCCTCTAATTTTGGGATGCTTGAACCTGCAAGGTGACCTGTTGCATTTTAATTGTTAGAAACATAAACTGTCTCCCACTTTAACCTTATACCCATTGGTTCTAATTCATATTTCTGGCAATGAGATTCCTTTTTCCAGTAGAAGTGGTATCTGAAGACAGAGGTCATGTTCTCTCTAACTCATTTCTGCCAGTACTTTCAACTAATTTTCCATATTACATGGATTCAAGTTCTCTTATCATCCTGGTCATTTTCCTCTTGGTGTAAATTGGTATAGATTTTAGTACATATCTCTTAAAGGTGGTTTGCTAAGTACAATATTCTAGATGTTATCTGACCTTGAAACTTTGTAGAATATTATACTTTCATTAAAATCTTCTCGAAGATTTGCATTGGTGGTATGACCTAAATCAGGTGAAGTCCTTGAGTCTTTTTCATGTGTATCTTCATGACTTTCTCATCTTGTACTTATTTGTCTTGGTATCTTGGATTTAATGCACAGAACTTTACATTTAAACCTTAAATTTCATCATGTAAGACTTACCTCATTATTTTTAGTCATTTAATAGTTTGTCTTTTTTAGTCCCAGTTCTTAGACTGGCATGTTATCGATGCAGCTCAATTTTTGGTAAGTTGCAGACCTAATGTGCCTACCTTCTGAATCCTAATCAAAGATACTTATGAACGTACTGAGTAGGAGAGTCCAAGGATAGACTCAGAGTATATCACCAGAGATGTGTCTTCAAATTCACAGGGACTTTTAAATGTTGCCCACAAGTTTATCATGAAACACTGAAATACTACTTATATCGTGATTTGAGAGACATTTATCTGCTGTCCCAGTCTAGTTACTGTCAAGAAAAGAAAATGTGGTTAGGCTAGTAAGATTTGATCTCAGTGACCTGTTCCCTTGCATGTGACCCATTTGTCATTGTTTTGGAATCTTTCATGAAACTTGGGCAAGATCACTTAGTCCTTAGGCGTTGTTACAGCCAAAGCCACATTGTTATTGGACAGCTGTGTGTCTTTTGTTTCCCACAAACCCTTAGTTTTCCTGGTCTTAAAATGCTTAGAACAGTCTTACTTGTAGGATTAGCAAAAATGGAAGAAAAATAATTTGTTGAGCAGTGCTGATTCTCATAATCAGAACTGTTTGGGTTTAAATATTAGAATGAAACAGGATAGGGAAAGGCCACTGGAGTTCTTTGAGCTGAGGATTGAGATGATAAAAGTGGTGTTTGGGGAATATTTGTTTTCCAACTGATGTGATTATGAAGGGTCATGTGATATTAGGACCCAGGATAAAAATCTTTGTTTTAATTATAAAACAGTGTGCCTCAGTTTTCTCATTATAAAATGGGAATAAAACCAGTACTCACCTCATAGCGTTGTTGTGATAACTAAATGAAATCATTTATGCAAAGTGCTTAGAACAGGACCAAGCACAGTAAGTGCTACATTATTGCTGTCCATGGAATGTATGTAGATATCTGTTTGGATAGGAGCATTTCTGAATGTTAATGCTTCAGTTGAATTCTAGTTTATAAAACATTTTTTCCCATATATTCATTTTATAAGGATAATAACTCTGTGACGGTGACATGCAATTATTAGTGTCTCAAGTTCCTAACTGGTAAAATGAGGATAATTATCTATTCATAGCCAGTCCTAGTTTCTGGTCTCTTAATGATTATGTATTTCTTCTGAACCTAAATTTCTTCTTCTGAAAAATGAGGTTTAGCTCGTTTCTAGGTTCTTTTCTAGGTCTAGAATTATTTACTGCTTTGATATTTTATGGCTTGTGTCATCATGAAACTTGAAACACACAAGATGAAATTTTAAAATTTAATCTCTTGAAGCTTTATGTTTTGGAAGCATGGTTAATCAGGTTCCTTGGATAGTAGACTCTGAGAGAAAGAAATCTGCTTACAAGCAGTTTATTGAAAAGTGTTCTCAGCATAACCTCTGTAGGGGAATGAAGGAGACAGAATTGGGTAGGGTGAGGAATTGAACTGTGATTGAACAGTCTGTCAGGGAGCTTCTCAGAATTCTGTCAAGTTGGCCGAGGGAGCTGGAACTTATACTCTGGCATCAACCAGTCATTGGTATTAAGTGAAGTCATTCTTATGACTGAGGACAAGTCCTGGTGTTGGATGAAGTTCTCATTGACTGAGGACAAGTTCCGGAGAGGGACTCAACTGAAAACTATGGCCACCATGTCCATGCATCAGGGGGAATGGGTCTTTTGGACAGCACACCTGGCATTCACTCCTGGTAGCAAATCTGATCTAGAATGGCTGGTAGCAAATCTGTTCACAGCATGGCTGTGCTTAGTTAAAATCAGAAGACAAGAAGGACACACTGGCACATGAGGTAAATTTAAAATTTTGCTTTGGGATTAACTGTTATCTTTTCCATTCTCCATAGTATCATGCAGTTGCTTGGCGCATTTCCTTCACCCAGTGGTCCTGCCTCTCCTTGTAGTCTGGTGAATGAGACCACGTTGATTAAATATTCCAGATTGCCCACCATAAACAAGCATAGTTTCCGGTACTTTGTCTTGGATAACATTGTCATCCTGGCAATGCTGGAGCAACCTCTTGGAAATGAAGAGAGTAAGTTTTAGCACTTTGAGCCTTTTCCACTGCTATACCAGCATGTTCATCAGTACTATTAAACTGTTGCCGGAAATAGGAAAAGAAAGACTACAAGTTAAGTAATTTTGCATTTGGTAAAAAGACTTCTCGCTGTGTTACAATAGCAAGTGAAAAATAGAGGCTCAGAAAATAAGAGTATGTGTATTAAACAGAATCTTTTAAAGGTCCCTTATCCATGTCTGAAACATCAGAAAATGTCTCTATAATTCTATTAAGAATATTATTTTAATAAGGTATTTCCTATGTTAAAAATTGTCACTCTTCCCTTCCTCTTAAACTTTGGATCCTGCCCTTCCTCTGTTTTGTTCCTTCATATTGTCCTTTTCAGTTATTGGTGTCACCCAAACAGGTTGAAAATGTGAGAAATAGTTTTTGCCTGCGCATTCCTCTCACTTCCATATATAATTGGCTTCCTAGTTTCTACCTGTCCAGTGATTTTTTTATCTTTCTTTTCCTCTGTCTTCCTGCCAGCACACTCAAAGTCAGATCCTTATTATTTCTTACCTTGATTATTGCATGTGCTTCCTACTTGATCTGATTCCTGCCAGCCTTGCCAGTTCCAACATGTGTTTACCCTTTATCTCCATTCTACGTGTTACTGTGCTACTGCTGCCACCATAATATTTATCCTCAAGTTTAGATCTGACCATGCCCATGCCCAACTGAAACCCTTCAGCGATTCTCCATTGATACGAGCATGCTGTTTCCTCCCTCCGTCCCTCATTAGAAACCATCTCAAGGTATATGATTACTGGGCAACCCAACTACTCACAGTATGTTTTATCCTGATGGTAATTGGCATTAGCCAGTATGCAGAGGATACATGTCCTCAGAGCCTTAATTACAAGGGAGACATAGGGAGTGAAGATTACAGAGCCTGTGGGTATAAAAGGACCCAGGACTGTTGTACAGCACCCTCATTTACAGGTGAAGGAACTGTAAATGTGCTCAAAGTTACTTGAGAAGTATAGGATGTGGCTAGGACTTGAAGCCAGGTATTCTGAATCCCAGACATGACTGTCACACAGTGATAGGATTTACTCACCTTTGCAAAGATGAACAGGATATTAGAGTCTCATGCACTTTCTATTGAGTATATGTAAGTTGTTGTGTTCAGTGCCACCAAATTGGTTCCAACCCATAGCAACCCTGAATAGGGTTTCCTATGAGCGACTGGTGACTTTGAACCACTGACCTTGCAGTCTAGCTCATTAGCCCACAGCACCATACTAGGAGTCCTATGTGTAAGCAGGATCACATAACCTACACAGTGAAAGTGAGCTCTTTCCCTGTAGTTTGGGGATGTATGAATGCCTGTGCTGTATGTATGTATGCTGTATGTATAAATGCACTTTCCATCACGCTGTGAAAATATAGTGTCTTGAATATGAATCAGGTAGGACCTTTTATCATTACCCAACTCCAGAAGTGCTGGCTCCAAGTCTTGCCTGCAGGCACCTCTTCTTTTTCTACCCGAGGTCTCTGGGCCTTTTTTCCTGGTCTTTCTCTGCCTATTACTCATAACTCCTCCAGTCTGCTTCTCCAAAAGAGGACATTGGGATTTTTTTACCTCCTTAGGCTTGCTGGCCACAGTTTTCCAGGTCTCCTGACCCTCATCCCATGTGTTGTTTTTGTTGTGTGCTGTGGAGTCAGTTCCGACTCATAGTGACCCTGTACAGGGTTTCCAAGGCTGTAAATCTTTATGGGAGCTTTAGAAAGCCTCATCTTTCTCACATGGAACAGCTGGTAGTTTCGAACTGCTGACCTTGCGGTTCACAGCCCGATTAGTAACCACTACGCTACCAGAGCTCCTTCTCATCTCTTGTAGTTTTTATTATATACAAAGGTTACCGAAAATATAAACCATTGAAATTTTGTATTTTTACAAGAACATTTACATTGTTTATTGTAATAGTTATAACATGAGAAATGAGAGAGAGAAGAGTTACCAAGTTTGACTTCACACCCGAGACAAAAGGAAGGAATGAGAAGAAGGATCTGGGTCCAGCCTGAGTCCTCTACTCCCAGTCCCACCCCAAGCCCTCCACTTCTGGGTTGGAGCAGTACCTGTGCTGGCTGGTAGCTTGCAAAGCCATGGGGGAAAGTAGCATCAACACTGCAGACACCGAGTGTGGCGTGTCTTTCTGCACTTTACATCATTCCCAGTGTCTGAAGTTAAGAGGGCTTGCTAAGGTGGTGGTAGTGGTGAAGTGCTCTTGAGTCGGTTCTGATTCATAGCAACTCTGTGTGGGCTTTCTGAGGAATGACTGGTGGTTTGAACCCACCAACCTTGCTGTTAGCAGTCTGGTGCTTATCCTGCAGTGCCACACCAGGACTCCTTTGGTAGTATTTCCCAAATAAGTATTAACTGTACCTTGGAGGTTTGTGAGCTGATGTTAGTCGATACAGTGGTAAACTTACATACTTTTAAAATATGTGATGAACACATCAACCTTATGGATTCCCTTTTTAAGGTAATGATACACAGTTTCCTTAAAAGGGAAAAAGAAAAAGTTGTTGACTTAAAATAATGGTTTTTATGGCACATAGTGTGACAGAAATCACAAAGTATGAAATCGAAAAGACTAAAACATGGGAAACACGATGCTAGGATTTTGATTATTTACAGCTCCGTAGTTGATAACAGCTTTAATTAGTAGTTGTCTGAAATAAAAACTTGTGCACAAATATTTTATTCTAGATGATTTTTTCCCTTCTGTCACTGTCCTGGTCCGGGGAACATCTGGAAGACTTGCTTGGGCACAACAGCTCTGCCTTTTACCCAGAGGAGCAAAAGCAAATCAGAAGGTATCCATCAGAGTTACAGGGAAGTGACTAAGAGTATGTGTGTCTATGTGTGTGCTGTCATTTAAAGGTGTTAAATAACATTCTAAGCAAAGTCACACAGAGAAACTACATATTTCTGATACCTAGCCAGGTTCTCAGTCAGTGGGTTCCTGTCAGAATTAGGAGCCCAGAATTCCAGACCTTCTGAACCACTTGTGAAAGCTCCCAATGCTCTCCGGGGGCTTCTTATGGTCACTTACGATCAAGAACTACTACTCTGACCAGTGGCCCACAAGTTTGGTTTTTGTTTTGCATTAAAAGTCAAGTGCATGTCATAAGTGAAAAAAATTCAGCCAGAACCCTTAATGTCTATGGCAACAAATGTGGTTTCAAATGGTTTTATATGATTTCTTTCTGTATAACATGGTAACATTCAAGGGAATCTTTAAAGGTGCAGCAGTTTATTTTATAGTTTTTATGTTTTAATTATACTAAAAATACTTATGGAAGAAAAGTTGGAAAATGTAGATAATAAAACAAGTGTTAAATTACCTATACTTTCATTTTCTAGAGGTAGATGTTGTTGTTGTTAAGTACCATGGAGTCGGTTCCAACTCATAGTGACCCTGCACAGGGTTTCCGAGGCTGTAAATCTTTACAGGAGCAGAATGCCTCATCTTTCTTCCGTGGAACCGCTGGTAGTTTTGAACTGCTGACCTTGAGGTTGGCAGCCCGACTCGTAACCACTGCACTACTAGAGGTAGATAACCACCATTAACAGTTTAATGTACTTCCTTTTTATCTTTTTTTTGTTTCTATATACTGTAACACTTGAATAGAATGAATCATTTTCATATACCTCTCTTTTTATTTATTGTACTGCACTGTCAGCTTTTATTTATGGTACTAAAAATATTTTTAAAACATGACAATAAATGTTAACATCATCTATGAAAGTAAAACTTGCAAAATTGGAGCATGTGTCTAGAAGTCATTCAACATCTTAGATGTCTTGGTACAGCTGATGTGTTTTTAATCTTGTGAGAGGCACACTGCTTTTTCTTTCCTAGTGCTTTGCAGATCACATTCTGCCAGTATCTCTGTAAGCCACTAATTAGCATTAAAGACTGAGAAGGAAGGGGATCAGGAAAGGAACTAGTATATATTGATAGTTTAATATATGCCATGTACTTTTTATTTTAATCCTCACAACAATCCTTTGATGGCGTGTTTCCAATTTTCAGATGTGAAACTGAAATCATGCAGCTAATATACATTAAGTCAGGGATTTGGAGCCACGGAGGCCTCGATTCAGTGCCTGTGCTCTTTCAGTCATGCCATGCTAGCATTGTACTTGAACTCTCTCTAGAGGTGCTCAGTGGACCTAAACTGATATTCTATGGAATGACTGAGCCGTTGAGAAATAAAGGAAGCTTGAGCCCTAAACCTCAAATACCTTACCCATTGACTTGGGCAGTATAGGTCCAAAGCTCATTTATCAGTCATGAGATCTATATAGTAAGTTGGTAAATGTATTCATAAGGATAAGATAGGATTGAGTAGACCGAAAATAAAAAATCATAGTGTAGCACTTCTGGTAAGGTTAAGTTTAAAACCCACTATTTTGTAGGTAGGGTATTCAATATTTATTCTGCACATTTTGGTTTAATGTATCAGTGTAGCCAACAAAAGCCCTGTGACTGAAACATTGTAAAATGATATTACAGAAGTCTCACAGGCTTTGGACCCCTAGGAAGTGGAAGAAAGCTGCTAAGAAAGACTGGAGATAACCAGAGATGAACACGGTCCAGTTTAGAGTTTGATTTCCGCTCATCCTGGCTTCCTTCATTGTAAAAGACATTGCAGATTCTTAACTGAATTCCTGTGACATACAGCGTTCTAGGACAGTGGGCATCTAAGAGACCAGGGAAATACATATTATTAAACTTGGCTGTTGGGCCATTTTAATAAACATCATGTTGTTTGATTTATTTTAATAGCTTTTTGTGCCTGAACCTCGTCCAGTTCCTAAAAATGATGTTGGATTTAAATATACTGTGAAACATCGACCATTTCCTGAAGAGGTAGACAAGATTCCTTTTGTGAAAGCAGATTTGAGCATTCCAGATTTGCATGAGATCGTCACTGAAGAAGTAAGATGAATTGTTTTTCTTTAGCCATTGTTAAGGGAAAGAATATAAACATTCTTAAATGACTTCCACAGGAAGCCCTGGTGGCACAGTGGCTAAGCACTTGGCTGCCAACTGAAAGATTGGCAGCTCCATAGGAAAAAGATGTAGTGGTCTATTCCCATAAAGATTACAGTCTAGAAAATCCTTTGGGACATTTCTAATCTGTCCTGTTAGGTTTCTTGAGTTGGAATCTCCTTGACAGCAACAGGTTTTAATTAACTTCCATGGTCAAAACACTGTCTTTGGTGTTACTGGAGGTCATTCATAAGATGATCTGGGTCTCTCATTCAAGAGGCTGATTGAAGATAATTGGATGAACATAGCTTAGAGATGTTACTGGGTTGCTTTGGTCTGGGTCATGGTTGGTTTCAGTAGTGTGCTAACATGTGCAAACTCTTATGAAGGAGATTTGGAGAAGAGAGATCAATTCAGGGACTTAGTATGACAGTTCAGACAGGGGAAAGGAAGTACTATTACACCAATACTTAAATATGTGAAATAGATTAAGGAGGTAGTCCAGTCAATGTTGGATTGAGGAGGGATGGGAAAGAGCCAAAGAACTTTAGATTTTGGTCGTGATTGCACAGGAATATGGACATTAAGAAGAGGACAGGATGTGATTTTATATTTAACTTTTTATTGTGAATTGAGCAAAGGTAAACAGACATGATCATCAGTTGTACTTTCAACCAATCATAACGTTTTGTTTCATGTCAATGGTTGCATTCCCCTCCCTGAAACAACAGTTACCCTGCTTCCATCCTGGCTTCCCTTTTGCATCTTGTTTTTCACAAATGAACAAAGCAAAAATATTTGATGTACACATACAAAACAAGAAATGTATATTTATTTAAATGTCCAAAAGGCACATTTTTCAAACCAGCCTCCTGCCTGCAGGCACACAGCCTTTCTCAGTCTATGGGCCTTGAGTCGTCAGCTGCTCTGTCTCTCTCTGCTATTGCCTCTGCCACTAGAGGACAGGATTTTAGATTAATTTCCCTTTTAATGTATTAATCTCTTAAGAAAAGAGGGTATTGTAGGAAGTGGATATTTCAGGGCATGGGAGAATGTAAGGGCAAGACAGAGGTGGTTATTTTGTCGAATACTGAACAGATTGGGGAGGATGAGAACTAAGAAAATCCTCTGAGGGCAGGTTCAGGAATGTATTGAAGGGAAAGGCAGAGGATAAAGGTCTTGAGGGATGAGTGTTTAATAAGGGAGAAGCAGTGACTTTAAACTGTGCTGTTAGCACTAAATGGTGGGGCACAGAGTGGATGGTGGCGTAAGAAAATAGTCTAAACTCGACGGCACTTAACAACATCTCCAACAGATGGAAAACCTGTTGAACTAGCTTTAAAAATCATATTGAGACAACAAACAAGATGGCGGATCGGGTGGATGTATAGCAGAGAGCTCCGCCAACAACAACACAGAATACCCGACCAAGCAGGTTCAGGGGATGGTCCCAGAACTCTGAACCACATATAAAGGAATACTTAGAAGGTTGGAAGGCTCACAGCTGGGGGAATTTGTGGCAGAAG